AAACTCCCCGCGAAGCAAATCCAGGAGTATCAGCAGAAGCTTGGCTGCCTACTATTCGCAGCAGTAACCTGCCGACCCGATCTATCTTATAGCGCGAGCCAACTGGCGATGCATCTAAAGCAGCCGGAACAAGAAGATCTCGAGGAACTTAATCGGGCACTACTCTACTTCGTCTCCACGCCGACGACCGGGCTTACCTACAGTAAAGTAACGGCATCGTCCGTACAACTACTCGGATACGTCGACACCGACCACGCGGGAGACAAGGGAAATCGACGATCGAGAACGGGCTACATCTACCGACTAGAACCTATCGGGACTATCTCCTGGCAGTCGAGCAAGCAGGAACTAATCGCACTACTTCGGTTGAAGCAGAATATATCGCCCTCTGTACTGCGACCAAGAAAGGACTCTACCTACGAGAGTTGCTCGAGGAAGCCAAGATTGCGACCCTGCCCGTCTTCTCACTCCTCTGCGACAACCAATCTGCGATCAAAAATCGCGAACAAGGACGGCTTCGCCAACCGAACCAAGCACATCGCCCTGCGGTACTTCTTCGTCAAGGATGAAATCGCGAAGGGGAGACTTCAACTCAGTTACTGCCCTACGACAGAAATGGCCGCAGACTATCTGACGAAGAAATTGGCGAAGGCAAAATTCGATTACTGCACACTGCTGACCGGGCAGACAAACATGACCGGATCTGAACACGTCAGCACTCCAGAAACGAAGGGGAGTGTTGGAAATACCTCAAAGGACTTGAGCGTTTTCTGAAGTGTAACACTACACTGGAGGAAGATCGTAACAGGTACGCGAGTCAACGGAGGTTACACGAGGGGATGGACAAAGAACGCAAAGGGACTCGAAGGGTCTCAACTGGAGGTTGCGACTGACCGTTACAACTGCACGAATGGTAACCGAAGCGACAATCGAGTCGCTGTGCGACTCGATAACCGCTCCTGCAACTGTATTCGACAACTGCTTTACTTTCCTATTTTCTATATATTGCAGTATGCTTGTTTCTTTAATCAATCACTTGTTCTCATATAATAATACCGTAATCCCCCGGCTATTGGACCCTATGGTCTTCTTAGAATTACAGGAAAAGGTGTCAAGGTGGACATTAACGTGGATGGAAATTATTGGGACCCATGTTCAGATATTTTACACTTAAGTGTCTATTGTGCTGGATGTAAGGCCTTTCTACATAGGGAGTTATATTTGTATCGCGGAAACAGAACCCTCTTGTCGTCATCTTTCCGTACCACCAGAGTGACATGCGTCAAATTTCGTGTGTTGGCGTGGCGCGATGGTTCTTGACTGCTGTTACCCACGCTGCTAGAGCGTGTTCCTGCGGCCTAGTTTCTCGCTACAGTCTCGCGTAATTGTGACGCGAAAGCAGTTTAGTGCGGTTCCGAGTGGTGTGACGTACGGTTGGAATTATTGAGATTCAAGGTGTGTTTCCAAACCTGATTTCAGGCGCGAATTTTTCAGACGAGCGCATATCTGTACAGTGCGAGATTGACGCGAGCTGATTCATTACCATTAATAACACGATTCTGAAACGAATTGGATTGGAAGTACGTTATGGGGAAGAGGAGGCTGGGAAGAGGCTCGTAAGAACACGCAGCACCAACCTGCTGCCAGCACCAACCGTACAGTAAAAGCATCAGCAGCAGTTTCTATTCTTACATGCAAAATCCTACAAGAAAACACAGCTGGGGGGTCCTAAAATGTTACATGTCAAAAAACGGGTCCTCACGGGGTCTGCCAAAATAAATGATCCCACCCCCGGGTAAAGGACCCATGGACTTTCTTACCGGCGGGTCCATTATCCGGGGGATTACGGTACAAGGATTCAACTACTCAACTTCCGCTGCACTACTCAAGTCTCATTCTTCAACTGGGACTTAGTCTCTGGAAAGATCCTAAGGGCTTTTCTTAGCCCAACACCAACCAATACACTCTTTATCCGAACCATTTCGAGTTGGGTCCAACACGAAGTTGGGGTCATTATTATAGCTTCTCACTTTAAACAGAATTAATATATCTATATAAAACAAGGCTCGACGCCCAAGCGTCGGAAGGGTTGCGTAGTCTATAGATTTCCAATGTGTAGAATTTTAAGAATAATACAGTTGGTATGATGTTAAAATTTACATTTCATATTAAAGTTCATAATTGTGTAAGTTGTGAGGAATAAATTATTTGATTGGGAATCAAATTTTCTCGTAATAATATTATAAATAATTATATTTAAATAATGATATACATGATACTACAAAGAGTATATATGATTCTTTATGGTTTGGATGGGAGAAAATGTACAAATGTAATTTATATGGTATTACAATGAGCGCGTTGAGCACAATACATGCTTTTCACCTTTGTCTAGGTGACATCAAGGGTTTATTCATATAAATATATACTTATACTGATATAATATGGATATTAATCTAATGATATTCACATACTGGTTTTCGCATAATGATGGTTTTGACGTATGTATTATATTGACATGAATATACTTATATATTGATTAAATTAATTGAAGTATATACATGTAATGATTTTGACATTCTTCTGTAGCCTCATCATTATAGCATTAGGCTGTAACACGCTGGATTTTGGCATCCAAGCACGTGACGAAGCCGAAACTACGCAAGAAACCTGCTTGTTCCTGTTCAATGAATTATTGACGAAACATTCTGAAGCCTAATCATTACGGGGTGAGGTACCTCAAGTATCGCATGTGGTGTCAGAAGCTTGTACCAGCTTGAAGTCGAAACCGGCAACTACAGTAACTGAGAAACCTGACTACAGTACCTCGTGTTCTGTACAGTACAAACAACAAAACGCGCATCGGGATGGGGTTTACGTTTCTTGCTTCGTCGTTCCTGAGCGTTTCTCCCTTCCTCCTCCCAACGCGTTTTTTTGTTTCCTGTTCCTCGTGCGTTTCTCGTTCAGAAATTCATTCATCTAGCTTTTCAGCTTTCCTCACATTCCTTCTCAAAAGCTTTCCAGACTTTCAAGTTTCCATCAGCTTATTTACCTGGTAAGTGGAGAACCGCTAGGCGCGTTTCCTTAGAGCTGGCGCTGGCGCTGGCTCTAGCGCTAAGCATTTGGCGCTGGTGCTGGCGCTGGTCGCACTGGCGCTGGCGATTTGGCGCCAGGCGCTGGCGTTTTGGCGCTGGCGCTGCCGCTGGCGCTGGCGTTTCGGCGCTGGCGCTGGCGCTTTGGCGCTGGCGCTGGCGCTGGCGCTGGCGCTTTGGCGCTGGCGCTGGCGCTTTGGCGCTGGCGCTGGCGCTGGCGCTTTGGCGCTGGCGCTGGCGCTGGCGCTGGCGCTTTGGCGCTGGCGCTGGCGCTTTGGCGCTGGCGCTGGCGCTGGCGCTTTGGCGCTGGCGCTGACGCTGGCGCTTTGGCGCTGGCGCTGGCGCTGGCGCTTTGGCGCTGGCGCTGGCGCTGGCGCTGGCGCTGGCACTGGCGTTTCGGCGCTGGCATTTTGGCGCTGGCGATTCGGCGCTGGCGCTGGTGACTTGGCGCTGGTCCTGGCGCTGGCGCTGGTACTGGCACTGGCGAATAGGCGCTAGCACCGGCGCTGGCGCTGGCGAGGATTCGTCGTCCCCCTCCTTTCCCCCCCCTTTGCCGTCCCCCCTCCGTTCCTACCCCTTTGTCGTCCCCCCTCCGTTCCCCCCCCTTTCTCGTCCCCCTCGGCCCCTCCCACTTTGTCGTCCCCCTTCCGTTCCCTCCCTTTCTCGTCCTCCCTCCGTTCCCCCCCCTTTGTCGTCCCCCCTCCGTCCCTCCCCTTTGTCGTCCCCCTCCGTTCCTCCCCCTTTGTCGTCCCCCTCCGTTCCCCCCTTGGCCGTCCCCGCCTTTCCTTCCCCTTTGTCGTCCCAACTCCGTTCCCCCCCCTTGGTCGTCCCCTCTCCGCCCCTCCCCCTTTTGTCGTCCCCCTCCGCCCCTCCCCCTCAGTCGTCCCCCTTCCTCCCTCCCCGTTTGTCGTCCCCTTCCGTTCCTCCCCCTTGGCCGTCCCCCTCCGTTCCTCCTCCTTGGCCGTCCCCCCTCCGTTCCCCCCCCTCGTCGTCCCCCTCCGCCGCTCCCCTTTGTCGTCCCCCTCCGACCCTCCCCCTTGCCGTCCCCCTCCGTTCCTCCCCCTTAGTCGTCCCTCCTCCACTCCTCCCCCTTTGCTGTCCCCCACCGTTCCTCCCCCTTTACTGTTTCCCCTCCGTTCCTCCCCCTTTGCTGTCCCCCCTCCGTTCCTCCCCTTTGCTGTCCCCCCTCCGTTCCTCCCCCTTTGCTGTCCCCCCTCCGTTCCTCCCCCTTTGCTGTCCCCCATCCGTTCCTCGCCCTTTGCTGTCCCCCATCCGTTTCTCCCCCTTTGCTGTCCTCCCTCCGTTCGTCGCCCTTTGCTGTCCCCCCTCCGTTCCTCCCCTTTGCTGTCCCCCCTCCGTTCCTTGCCCTTTGCTGTCCCCCCTCCGTTCCTCCCCTTATGCTGTCCCCTCCGTTTCTCCCCTTTGCTGTCCCCCATCCGTTTCTCCCCCTTTGTTGTCCCGCCTCTGTTCCTCCCCCTTTGCTGTCCCCCCACCGTTCCTCCCCCTTTGCTGTCCCCCCTCCGTTCCTCCCCCTTTGCTGTCCCCCCTCCGTTCCTCGCCCTTTGCTGTCCCCCTCGGTTCCTCCCCCTTTGCTGTCCCCCATCCGTTTCTCCCCCTTTGCTGTCCTCCCTCCGTTTCTCCCCCTTTGCTGTCCCCCCTCCGTTCCTCCCCTTATGCTGTCCCCCATCCGTTTCACCCCCTTTCTTGTCCCCTCTGTTCCTCCCCCTTTGCTGTCCCCCACCGTTCCTCCCCTTCGCTGTCCCCCTCCGTTCCTCCCCCTTTGCTGTCCCCCCCGTTCCTCGCCCTTTGCTGTCCCCCCTCGGTTCCTCCCCCTTTGCTGTCCCGCCACCGTTCCTCCCCCTTTGCTGTCCCCCTCCGTTCCTCCCCCTTTGCTGTCCCCCTCCGTTCCTCCCCTTTGCTGTCCCCCATCCGTTCCTCCCCCTTTGCTGTCCCCCTCCGTTCCTCCCCTTTGCTGTCCCCATCCGTTTCTCCCCCTTTGCTGTCTTCCTCCGTTCCTCCCCCTTTGCTGTCCCCCCCGTTCCTCCCCCTTTGCTGTCCCCCCTCCGTTCCTCCCCTTTGCTGTCCCCCCACCGTTCCTCCCCCTTTGCTGTCCTCCCTCCGTTCCTCCCCTTTGCTGTCCCCACCGTTCCTCCCCCTTTGCTGTCCCCCTCCGTTCCTCCCCTTTGCTGTCCCCCCTCCGTTCCTCCCCCTTTGCTGTCCCCCCTCCGTTTCTCCCCCTTTGCTGTCCCCCATCCGTTTCTCCCCCTTTGCTGTCCTCCCTCCGTTTCTCCCCCTTTGCTGTCCCCCCTCCGTTCCTCCCCTTATGCTGTCCCCCATCCGTTTCACCCCTTTGTTGTCCCCCCTCTGTTCCTCCCCCTTTGCTGTCCCCCCACCGTTCCTCCCCTTCGCTGTCCCCCTCCGTTCCTCCCCCTTTGCTGTCCCCCCTCCGTTCCTCGCCCTTTGCTGTCCCCCCTCGGTTCCTCCCCCTTTGCTGTCCCGCCACCGTTCCCCCCTTTGCTGTCCCCCCCCGTTCCTCCCCTTTGCTGTCCCCCCTCCGTTCCTCCCCCTTTGCTGTCCCCCATCCGTTCCTCCCCCTTTGCTGTCCCCCTCCGTTCCTCCCCCTTTGCTGTCCCCCATCCGTTTCTCCCCCTTTGCTGTCTTCCTCCGTTCCTCCCCCTTTGCTGTCCCCCCACCGTTCCTCCCCCTTTGCTGTCCCCCTCCGTTCCTCCCCTTTGCTGTCCCCCACCGTTCCTCCCCCTTTGCTGTCCTCCCTCCGTTCCTCCCCCTTTGCTGTCCCCCTCCGTTCCTCCCCCTTTGCTGTCCCGCCTCCGTTCCTCCCCCTTTGCTGTCCCCCTCCGTTCCTCCCCCTTTGCTGTCCCCCTCCGTTCCTCCCCCTTTGCTGTCCCCCCACCGTTCCTCCCCTTTGCTGTCCCCCTCTGTTCCTCCCCCTTTGCTGTCCCCCCACCGTTCCTCCCCCTTTGCTGTCCCCCTCCGTTCCTCCCCCTTTGCTGTCCCCCCTCCGTTTCTCCCCTTTGCTGTCCCCCTCCGTTTCTCCCCCTTTGCTGTCCCCCATCCGTTCCTCCCCCTTTGCTGTCCCGCCTCCGTTCCTCCCCCTTTGCTGTCCCCCTCCGTTCCTCCCCTTTGCTGTCCCCCTCCGTTCCTCCCCCTTTGCTGTCCCCCACCGTTCCTCCCCCTTTGCTGTCCCCCCTCCGTTCCTCCCCCTTTGCTGTCCCCCTCCGTTCCTCCCCCTTTGCTGTCCCCCCTCGGTTCCTCCTCTTTGCTGTCCCCCATCCGTTTCTCCCCCTTTGCTGTCCCCCCTCCGTTCCTCCCCCTTTGCTGTCCCCCCTCCGTTCCTCCCCCTTTGCTGTCCCCCCTCCGTTCCTCCCCTTTGCTGTCCCCCTCCGTTCCTCCCCCTTTGCTGTCCCCCCTCCGTTCCTCCCCCTTTGCTGTCCCCCCTCCGTTCCTCGCCTTTTGCTGTTCCCCCTTCGTTCCTCCCCCTTTGCTGTCCCCCTCCGTTCCTCCCCCTTTGCTGTCCCCCTCCGTTCCTCCCCCTTTGCTGTCCCCCCTCCGTTCCTCGCCCTTTGCTGTTCCCCTTCGTTCCTCCCCTTTGCTGTCCCCATCCGTTCCTCCCCTTTGCTGTCCTGCCTCCTGTCCGTTCCTCTCCCTTTGCTGTCCCCCCTCCGTTCCTCCCCCTTTGCTGTCCCCCCTCCGTTCCTCCCCTTTGCTGTCCCCCCCGTTCCTCGCCCTTTGCTGTTCCCCCTTCGTTCCTCCCCCTTTGCTGTCCCCCTCCGTTCCTCCCCATTTGCTGTCCCCCCTCCGTTCCTCCCCCTTTGCTGTCCCCCTCCGTTCCTCGCCCTTTGCTGTTCCCCCTTCGTTCCTCCCCCTTTGCTGTCCCCCCTCCGTTTCTCCCCCTTTGCTGTCCCCCCTCCGTTCCTCCCCTTTGCTGTCCCCCCTCCGTTCCTCGCCCTTTGCTGTCCCCTCGGTTCCTCCCCTTTGCTGTCCCCCTCCGTTCTTCCTCCTTTGCTGTCCCCCATCCGATTCTCCCCCTTTCCTGTCCCCCCTCCGTTGCTCCTCCTTTCCTGTCCCCCCTCCGTTCCTCCCCCTTTGCTGTCCCCCCTCCGTTCCTCCCCCTTTGCTGTCCCGCCTCCGTTTCTCCCCTTTGCTGTCCCCCATCCGTTTCTCCCCCTTTGTTGTCCCGCCTCTGTTCCTCCCCCTTTGCTGTCCCCCACCGTTCCTCCCCTTTGCTGTCCCCCCTCCGTTCCTCCCCCTTTGCTGTCCCCCCACCGTTCCTCCCCTTTGCTGTCCCCATCCGTTTCTCCCCCTTTGCTGTCCCCCTCCGTTCCTCCCCATTTGCTGTCCCCCTCCGTTCCTCCCCCTTTGCTGTCCCCCCTCCGTTCCTCGCCCTTTGCTGTTCCCCCTTCGTTCCTCCCCCTTTGCTGTCCCCCCTCCGTTTCTCCCCCTTTGCTGTCCCCCTCCGTTCCTCCCCCTTTGCTGTCCCCCCTCCGTTCCTCGCCCTTTGCTGTCCCCCCTCGGTTCCTCCCCTTTGCTGTCCCCCCTCCGTTCTTCCTCCTTTGCTGTCCCCCATCCGATTCTCCCCCTTTCCTGTCCCCCCTCCGTTGCTCCTCCTTTCCTGTCCCCCTCCGTTCTCCCCCTTTGCTGTCCCCCTCCGTTCCTCCCCCTTTGCTGTCCCCCCGTTCCTCGCCCTTTGCTGTTCCCCCTTCGTTCCTCCCCCTTTGCTGTCCCCCATCCGTTCCTCCCCTTTGCTGTCCTGCCTCCGTTCCTCCCCTTTGCTGTCCCCCTCCGTTCCTCCCCTTTGCTGTCCCCCCTCCGTTCCTCCCCCTTTGCTGTCCCCCCTCCGTTCCTCGCCCTTTGCTGTTCCCCCTCCGTTCCTCCCCCTTTGCTGTCCCCCTCCGTTCCTCCCCCTTTGCTGTCCCCCCTCCGTTCCTCGCCCTTTGCTGTCCCCCCTCGGTTCCTCCCCCTTTGCTGTCCCGCCACCGTTCCTCCCCTTTGCTGTCCCCCCTCCGTTCCTCCCCCTTTGCTGTCCCCCCACCGTTCCTCCCCCTTTGCTGTCCCCCCTCCGTTCCTCCCCCTTTGCTGTCCCCCCTCCGTTTCTCCCCTTTGCTGTCCCCCCTCCGTTCTCCCCCTTTGCTGTCCCCCATCCGTTCCTCCCCCTTTGCTGTCCCGCCTCCGTTCCTCCCCCTTTGCTGTCCCCCCTCCGTTCCTCCCCCTTTGCTGTCCCCCTCCGTTCCTCCCCCTTTGCTGTCCCCCATCCGTTTCTCCCCTTTGCTGTGCCCCCTTCGTTCCTCGCCCTTTGCTGTCCCCCCTCTGTTCCTCCCTTTTGCTGTCCCCCCTCCGTTTCTCCCCTTTGCTGTCCCCCCTCCGTTCCTCGCCCTTTGCTGTCCCCCCTCCGTTCCTCCCCTTTTGCTGTCCCCCCTCCGTTTCTCCCCCTTTGCTGTCCCCCATCCGTTTCTCCCCCTTTGTTGTCCCCTCTCCGTTCCCTGCCCTTTGCTGTCCCCCCTCCGTTTCTCCCCCTTTGCTGTCCCCCATCCGTTTCTCCCCTTTCCTGTCCCCATCCGTTTCTCCCCCTTTGTTGTCCCCCCTCTGTTCCTCCCCCTTTGCTGTCCCCCATCCGTTTCTCCCCCTTTGCTGTCCCCCTCCGTTCCTCGCCCTTTGCTGTCCCCTTCCGTTTCTCCCCCTTTGCTGTCCCCCCTCGATTCCTCCCCCTTTGCTGTTCCCCCTCCGTTTCTCCCCCTTTGCTGTCCCGCATCTGTTTCTCCCCCTTTCCTGTCCCCCATCCGTTTCTCCCCCTTTGTTGTCCCCCTCCGTTCCTCCCCCTTTGCTGTCCCCCCACCGTCCCTCCCCTGTGCTGTCCCCACTCCGTTCCTCCCTCTTTGCTGTCCCCCCTCCGTTCCTTCCCCTTTCCTGTCCCCCTCCGTTCCTCCCCCTTTGCTGTCCCCCTCCGTTCTTCCCCCTTTGCTGTCCCCTCCGTTTCTCACCCTTTGCTGTTCCCCATCCGAAATAATCTTCTACGGTTGCAGATTTTTGTATAAATTTGTGTTTCCTGTCTAAGTGCACGCTATTTGCTCTTCCTGTTATGCCTATGTTTGTTGGATTTTGCAGATAGTCCATATTTCGAAGATTCGTTTTGGGTCACGTTTCGTGTGAGCGCTCGTGTACGTAATTGTTAATCCATAATAAAATTAATGGTAGTTTTTAGAATCAATTGTGATTTGGGTATACCTAAAGGAAGGTGTTCACGAGGCGAAATGTGCTTGTTGGTGAAATTGTCTTTATTGTATTTATGAACCATGGCATATTGTTCGTCATGAAAATGGCAGCAGGGTATTGTGGTTATGTGTAACCTTTGGTTTGGTACTTTGCCTAATTTAGGTGCACAAAAAAGTTGTCATAAGATGTGTCACTCCTTTCACAAATCTCGCATTCAAGCATTTCATATTTCCAAGGAATAATTTGTGCTCGTCACCACAGCATCACTGTGGTTGCCTTGCAATGTCTCCGCATATCTTGTTCTCCGTCTCCCTCTCCTATTTTCTCCTCTCAATATCACTCCTCTTTCTTTCGTCTCTCTCTCTCTCTCTCTCTCTCTCTCTCTCTCTCTCTCTCTCTCTCTCTCTCTCTCTCTCTCTCTCTCGCTCTCTCTCTCGCTCTCTCTCTCTCTCTCTCTCTCTCTCTCTCTCTCTCTCTCTTCTCTCTCTCTCTCTCTTTCTCTCTCTCTCTCTCTCTCTTCTCTCTCTCTCTCGTTCTCTCTCCTCTCTCTCCTCTCTCTCTCTCTCTCTCTCTCTCTCTTCTCTCTCTCTCTCTCTCTCTCTCTCTTTCTCTCTCTCTTTCACTCTCACACTCAACCCTTCGATCACTTTTCCCCCGCAGTCCTTATTCGTCCGAATCTACAAAACGCCACTGCAACACGGCTTGTGCCTTCCAACTTCTCGTACGTATCATTTCCTTCCTTCTAGCTTTCACCCCTTTCATTCCTGTTCTCAACTTCTCTCTCAAAATGTCCCTCTCTTTTGCTCTCTCAGTTTCTCCATTTTTTCCTCTCCCTCTCTCAATACAAATACTCTTCTTCAATCTCACGTTACTCCCTATCTCTCTCTATATCTCTCTCAATGTCTCTATGTCTCTCTCTCTCTCTCTCTTCCTCTCTCTCTTCTCTCTCTCCTCTCTCTCTCTCTCTCTCTCTCTCTTCTCTCTCTCTCTCCCTCTCTCTCTCTCTCTCTCTCTCTTTCTCTTCTCTCTCTCTCTTCTCTCTCTCTCTCTCCTCTCTCCCTCTCTCTCTTCTTCTCTCTCTCTCTCTCTTTCTCTTCTCTCTCTCTCTCTTTCTCTCTCTCTCTCTCTCTTTCTCTCTCTCTCTCTCTCTCTCTCTCTCTCTCTCTCTCTCTCTCCTCTCCTCTCTCCTCTCTCTCTTCTTCTTCTCTTCTCTCTCTCTTTCTCTCTCTCTCTCTCTCTTCTCTCTCTCTCTCTCTCTCTCTCTCTCTCTCTCTCTCTCTCTTCTCTCTCTCTCTCTCTCTCTCTCTCTCTCTCTCTCTCTATTCCTGTGTTTTGAAGTGTAGACAAGTTACTTTTATTGCGGTACTTATACGACCAATGTGTTTGCAAACTTTATCTATATAGTATATGTTTCACATCTAGCAATATTTGTTTGCGTGAACATTCTACAGAGTTAGATTTTTCCCATGGCTTCAACATGTTCATCTTCTCCGATGATCATCACCGGCGGAACGCTAGTCGGTGAGTTTGAGAAGGTGTATCGGCTCGAGCTGATACACATTATTGGTGATGGAAATTGCCTATATCGAGCCTTGTCAAAATGGTTGCATAACACGCAAGAAAGGTATGAGGAGGTCAAAGATAGGCTATTGAGACATGTGGTTGCGAACTGGAGAAATCCAGAATTCGAGTACTGGCTCGTCGCAAGAAGCGCATTCGATAGACCGTTTTTATCAGGTATCGATTATTACACACACGTCTCTAAATCTGGTGAATGGGGATCTATCAATGAGGTGAAGGCGTTTTCAGTTGTTTTCAACGTGACGGTCATTGTTTGGGTAAGAAAAACCCATTTTTGGGCATGTTTTCGGGCGCGCAACCCTACCACATTTCATGGCGTACTTCATTTGAATTTTGATATCGATGCGAGCCATTATTCTCTTCTACTCCCTTCAAACAATGGAAGTTTATATGGCTCCAGATACGCGTCAGTTGAACCTGAGACAGCTACTATAGCACAAGCTAATAATGACAGTAATTCTCGTGGTGTGGGTAATAGCCTAAAGGAAGTAAAAGATAACGTAGATAACAGTAAGCAGGGAACAAGTAGTTCGTGCAATAAAAGGCGAGATCATCAAGATGACGCAGAAACTACCATCGCTAGCAGTCGCGCTTGTCATCACACGCAACCAATCCGTGCTACACCAAATGTTAACAATGGATCTCACCAATATAAGAAGAAAGATTCACGTAATTCGATGACCATGTTATGTCTTTGTAGGAAATTAGTGGAGCATCATAAACCACGAAGCACGCACTTTATAGGTGTAAGACGTACAGCGAAGGGTTTTTAATTTTTGGTGAATTGTAATGGCAAACGTTATACGCATTCAGGTTTTGCGCACGACATAGATGCCGCATTGGCGAGAACATATTTCATTTGTAGCAAACTTCGTGAACATAAAAAATATATACTTGATCTAACAAACGGGGTTCTAGATGATAGCGGTGGCCTTATCGCGCATCTAGAGCTCGACGATATTTTCAAGGACGATAACATTGAAGCAGTACCGGTAAAACAAAACAGGGATCAATATATGGAGAAGTTTTTGCAGAAATGCAAAGATGGACCCGATTTTTCATGCCCGTCATGTGGAACAATGTGTTTTCAACAAAACGTGGCAAAGGCGAAGCACGGAAATGCGGAACAAATCGTGTGTCAAAGTTGTGCACGTTACATTAGGAAAGGAAAGGATCCGCCATTTTTTACGTTAAATAAAGTAGGCTTTCCGTCTCAACCCGTTGAACTCAAAAACCTTACAACGCTAGAAGAGCGTTTAATAAGTCCGCGCATACCATTTATGAATATACGTTCATTGTCCATTGGAAAACAGTACGGTATACGAGGCGGAGTTATCAACATTCCAGTTGAAGTTAACCAGATGGTATCCTCATTACCGAGGTTGCTCGATGATACACATACCGTTACGGTCAGATTGAAACGCAAGATGGAGTACAAACATAGCGCATTTGAGGAAAACGTGAGGCCTGCTAAAATCTTGAAAGCGATAAACTTCCTTTGTAGACAACAACTTTTTACTGACAACAAAATTGTCTTAAACAAAATTAATTTGAACCGGTTAAGCACTATACACAGCAAACCACGTATGGACAATGCGAATTCAGCCAATGCCGAAAGCGATTCTTCATCAAGAGAGTCAAGTGATAGCAACGATACGAATAGCGTAAACGTTGGTGTACTCGACACTCTTATTACGCAAGAGCCTTTTTATCAGCATCCATCACATAGCTTGGTGCAAATGGCACCAGGAGAGCAATCAAAACCATTGTCCATAATATTAGATAAAGATGTCGAAGAATTGAGTTTCCCAACAATCTATGGTGGTAATCATAGAGTGCGTGCAGCAACAGACTTGCATGTATCGTATTCGGATATTGCAAAGTGGGAACTAAAGCATAGAAATGGGCGATGCTCATCAAATATATCCAACATTTTTTTCAAAATGTATAAAAAAGAGATATTACAGGTGCAAAATGTAATTGCCACGCGTGTACGACAAGACAAAATTAGGAATCTAGAAGCATTTACCGCGACAGATATGTTGAACGAAAATAAGTGTTTCACGCTTCAACAAAACGATACCTTATATAACGATTTTAAGGTCATCCGTTCAACACAACAATACAGAGACAATTGCAAGCGCGATCTTTTTGCACTTTTGCGTCAAATCGGTAGGCCAACGTTCTTTATAACCATGTCAATGGCAGATACCCGCTGGGTTGATCTTCATGCGATACTTTTAAGAGTAAATACATTACGTGGGAATCCGTGTAAATTGCCGTCCGGTATAGGCTTACCGTTACAGTATAGTACGATTACCACGTTGGTAAGAAATGACCCTGTGACTTGTGCACGATATTATGCTCATAGAAAGAGATTGCTGTTTTGTTATATGTTGAATAAGAAGTCAGACGTTCTTGATGGAATCGATGACTATTTTGCACTTGACGAATTTCAACATCGTGGCGCGCCGCATACGCATGCCGTTGTTTGGAGTAAAGGTGCGAACGAGATTGGCATCGCTGGAGCGGACGCTATTATAAGGTACGCAGATAAACATATTAGTACGAGCTCTAGAGGCTTACATCCACAATTGCTGTCGTTACAAACACACAAACACTCAAGAACTTGCCAACGATCGAGTTCCTTACGTAAGTGTAGGTTTGGTTTTCCAAGATTTCCATTACCTTCAACGATGCTTTTACATCCCATTCCTGCTACCCTCTCTGTACGGGAGCGACAAAAATTGGCGAGTGATGCAAGACGCGTTAAGGAGTGGCTCGATGGTGCATCGCCCGGAAGTAATATCACTTTCACTGTCTTTTTGCAAAAGGTTAGTCTTGTTTTCGATGAATATCTGCTTGTTATCCGGTCGTCACTAAAGCGAACAACACTTATTCTACGTCGTCAGGTAAGTGATGTCTACATAAACAATTATAATCCCACCCTTCTCAGAATGTGGAATGGGAATATGGATATTCAGTTGTGCATTGATCCATATAGCGTGGCAGCGTACATTGTATTGTACATGACAAAAGCAAATAAAGGTATGAGTACCATGATGCAAAAGGCTTTAGCATACGCTCGTAATAAAAAATCAGGAATAAAGGGAATTCTTCGTACCATTGGAAACGCTATGTTGAATTCTCAAGAAATAAGCGCACAAGAAGCATGCTATTTGCTACTTGGGTTACAGTATCGCATGTCAACACGACAAGTCATCTTCATTAATACATCACCACATAATGAACGACTACTAACCCTTAAATCTATTAATAAATTGCGCCAATTAGAATCAACGAGCACGGACGTGTATGAACCCTACGCATGCATTCAAAAGTATAAGTTAAGGCCTGAAGCTATGGAACATACGTGCTTGGCCGATTTTATTTCAAAGTATGAATTGGCCCCATACGATTCGAGCAAGCTTAAATTACACTTGATTGGTCCTGACTTAACTAAGGAAAAGAGATTCTATTATAAGCGCGGAAAGTCTAAGATAATAAGATTTGTGAATTATCATAAGAATCAGAATTATAACAATTATATTCGAGAGAGGGTTTTATTGTTTCATCATTTTCGAGAGGAGCCAATCGACCATGCTGAATGTTCTGATGCATATCACAGATTTGAGCGAGATATTATTGCGAAAGAGCAAGAGTTCACGAAAGAGTTAGATACATGGGCTGATGCATTCAAAGAAGCCGAACAAGCCAACGATGATCGCATATCAATTGAAACACAAGATTCAAATGATATAGTTGACCATATCGATCTTGCAAACGAATTGAATATGCAAGATGTTGTTAAAAAGAGCACTGATTTGTTCAAGCATATCAACGTTGACAGTTCGGAATATATGCTGCTGGAGAAGATATTAAATGCGGAACAACGCGCGATTAGTGATCATGTCGTGCATCACATACGGAAAAGTTATACACCGCTTCGTCTGTTTATATCTGGTGGAGCTGGAGTGGGAAAATCGGTTCTCATTCGAGCTTTGACGGAAAGGATTACACGGATGTTTAACGCAACGATTCATTCTGACCCTACATCTCTCAAAGTGTTGAAATTGGCGCCATCCGGAGTTGCTGCTTTTAACATAAGTGGGTACACTATTCATAACGCTTTAATGATTCCAGTTACGCAAAACCGAACAATATCAAATCTATCATCAGAACGAGTGAACACGCTACGGTCCAATTTATGTGACGTGAAGGTTGTTATAGTCGATGAAGTTTCAATGCTTGGCGAGCACACATTTCGATGGTTGGATTGGCGGCTAAGGGAGTTACGAGGAAAACAACACATCCCGTTTGGAGAATTACATGTCATATTTGTAGGAGACTTTTTTCAGTTACCACCGGTAGCCGATAGATACTGTTTTGCAAAGACAAAATCATTGAATACAATGGTTGAAGATAACGTATGGGAGCTTTTCTCAATGGTTGAGTTAACAACTATAATGCGTCAAAAAGATGAGACCGAGTTTGCCGCACGCTTAAACAGATTGCGAGAGGGAAAACACACTAGAGAGGATGTCGATTTCTTCTTATCGTTGAATACGTATGGCGAGCAAAAATTAAGTGTCCAACATATTTTTGGAAGAAACGCAGATATAAACGAATTCAACAATAGAAAGTTTGAGCTAACGCACAACGAGAAGCATATCATACAAGCATACGACTTACATCTATTTGACAAACGTTCCACTCGATGTAAGCGACCATCAGGGAGCGCACCAAAGGATCCGAAAAAAACTGCGGGTCTTTATGCAACCTTATTCCTGTATGTTGGATGCAAAATTCATATTGTCTTAAATGTTGATACCACCGACGGCCTTGCAAACGGTACGTCTGGCACAATACATTGTTTTTCTATGGATGAAACAAATGAGGTCTCTATCATCTGGGTGCTATTTGACAACGTTCGGGTTGGTGCGAAGGTGCGTAACAACTGTAGAAGCATGTATACTACATGGGCAATAAACAATCATTTGTTAACCCCAATCGTTCGTGTCGAGCGAAAATTCTCTATTAACCGAATGTGCGAAGAGATCTCAAGGCTACAATTCCCCCTTCGCCCTAGTGCGGCTATAAGTATACATCGCAGCCAAGGGTCAACGTTCGAATCAGGTGTCGTTCATTTTGAGGGGCCCAATTTTTATCATGCAGCGTATGTGGCTTTGAGGCGGTTCAGGTCACACCGTGCTTTGTATTTAAGTGGGTTTTCCGAGCGAACCATTCGTATTAATGGTGAAGTCGTTAAAGAAATGGAACGTCTTCGTAGTTCTAAGCTTACGATTTCTCCGGTCCCAATACATAATATCACATTGATTCCTTGCAAATGAAGGTT